CGCCACCCATGAGTTAACTCTGAACAATTTTTCCACTTCTCTCTTTAAATCTTCAGGTTGGCAGGACAAAACCAAAGCTAATTCTGTTATGAGTTCCTCCTCCAATTTTTCTTGAGCATTTTCAGACAACCCTCTTATTCTCAACGCATGTTCCATTTCTCTAAATTGTGCCATAAGAATCTCATTCTGATTTATATCAGTGCTTTCTTCCACTTTGCCCATTCTAATTTCTAAAACTTCAATATGCTCCTCCGCCTCTTCCACCCTCACTGCAACACGATCTACATTATCAGCCAAAGCTTGCAATGCAAACACTATACCTTAACTGCGCATGCGTGAGAGATGGCGGTCTTCTGGAAATAGCTCCGAGATGCGGAGCCCGAAAACGGCGAGAGGGGGAGCTTGGAAAGCTCCCCGAAGGCCCGGAGTTCCACTCCCATGTGGGTGCCTCTCCTGGTGAGCCCCGGACTGGATACGGGACGTTTGGGGGCGCGGGGGGCGCGGGGGGCGCGGAGCCGATTCGGTCATCGTTCTTGGCCGTTTTTCGGCCTTTTCCAGCTTACCCGGCCTTCCCGTCCGCGGCGGCCCCGTTGATGGTTGGCGGGCGGCGTCTCCGGCCTTCTCCAGCCCGCTCGGCCCAGACCGCTCGGCCTGGACCACCTGGAGGTCCGGAGATTTCCCTCCACGGGGGTGCCTCCCCTGGCGTGGGGGTGTCTCTGGCGACCGGAGGGCCTCTCGAGTGATCTTGGAGGCCCGCGTGGGTTCGGCGGCCTCCTCGTCGGCTGCGATGGCCTGGCCAGGGACTTTGTGGGTGGCTCTGACGGCCCCTTCAGGCAGCCTCTCCGACGACAGCTTGCAGCCTCCCCGGCGATCGGGGACCTCGGAGGGCTTTTTGGACAGCCTCGACGGCCCCCTAGTGGTGTCAGCTCTGGGGGATGGCCGCGCGGCCTGTTTGGGCGGCCTGTCCGGGGCCCTCTTTGGCCGGCTTATCTTCAATGGCCTGGAGGCCTTTTTTGAGACCTTCCGGGGGTTTTGNGGAGAGGGTGGAGGAGTAGGTTTTGTTTGCTGTGATATCTGTACAGCTGGAGAAGAAGAGCTCAAGCCTTTCTGAGGAGGAGGAAAATTTCCCCCCCGCTTTGAAGCCATTTTACTTTCACTACCCTTCTTCTCAAATTTAATTTATATAATACAATGTCCCATAAAGTTCTTCTTTTTTGAAACTGCCACAAAAAAAAGCAAAAACAGATATTTTGTTCACCTACAGTCCAGTAACTCTAAAACAATAATAATCCAGCAGAAAGTGAAAGCCAAAGTAAAAGTCCTCAATAAGTGAAAGTCTCTATTAAAGAGCAAAACGCCCTTCCGCGGCCATTTTTTCCTCTTTTTTTTTTTCCTCCTTCTTAAACTTTAATCTTGATGGAGAAGTTATTAAAATCAGAGCTGAAGGCTCTTATTCATGCCTCTCTCAAGCACCTGGATCACTCTGTCTGCTCCAAAGTCTACTCACAATCTCCTTTAAGCAGAGGATGAGTCCGTGTCTGGCTTCGTTCTTAGAACGGAGGCAGCCCAAAGCGCGGAGAAAAGTCCCTGACTCCGGGGGAACTCACCTCCACCCCCACAGCTATAAAACTGTGGGAGCTCAGGAGTTCTACCCCTATCAGAGAGACTCTCCCCCCTCCCCTTTGCCCGGGGAAGGGGATTCAAGCCGCGGAGCAGCTGTTTGACCCTGCTCCTGCGGCTTTTACGCGTCCTCGGGGCAGGCGGCGAAAGGAAAAGCCGCCATCGGCACAGGAACTCAAACCGGAAGTCCACTGTATTAATGTTTTTGATGCTCCTGGTTCTAATGAAATCCTGGTCCACTGGGGTTGAGATAGCTAGTCAGAGATTGCTCTTGTCTCCCTACAGAACCAATGGCCTTTCTGTACCACTGGCTGTGGATGATAATTATAGAGCTGTTCCACGCAACATCCTCACTTCAGTGGACAAACTTTGCAGCAAAGCTAAGCCGTATTTTCCCCAAGTTATCCTCTTCTCTCATGTCTCTGAAAGGCATTTAGCATCCATCTGCACAGTATTCTTCGCACACAATGAAGTGTTCAGCTTGAAGAGAGCCCAGCCTAGTAGTCACTGCTCCCCCTGAGCTGCCATTTGCTAGACCCAGAGAAGCAAGAAACTCAATGGCTGCTCTCTCTGCAGCAGCTTGTCCACCGCACTGCTTGCTCTCTTCCTGCCACCAGAGGCTATTTTCCCACAAGTTTAGTTATTATGCTCCATGAATAAAAAACAAAAAAGGGTTAAAAAGCTTATCACTCAGCTCACCATCACTTTATAAAACTGTTTAGTTAATAGTTATTTGTACAGTCTTAAGAGTAGCAACTAGCAATTCTCAGGAATAAATCATAGCACAAGGAAAGCAAGAACAAAACTCATTTATGATTGGATACATCTTCTACTATCATCAACTCATGCCTACATGGTTAGATCCATATTGAAGTCAGGCTTTTATAACCCTGCAACTACGCTATGTTTGCATGACACCATAAATCACTAAGGAGGAAATAACCTGTGAGTTATTTCGGGGTAGACAAACAACACTTTCCCCTTTCTAACAACACAAGCAAAATCATTGTTTGCCCTCCCTAAGGCTCTTCTCCTGAGCCATATCAGATGACATTCCTTGGTAGATAGGGCCTCCTGCCCCATATTGGGCCCTAGATGATCTGGGATAGCCTCATGGTTGTCATGGTGGCCAGGAACTTCCAAGCAGAATCAGACCTCACTCCCAGAGAAGGCAAATTGAAATCTTCTAGGACCATTAGTCTGGAAAACTCCATTGCCAATCTAGGATTGAAGTCAAGTAACTTAGGCTGGGAGATTGCAATGCAGCAGGAAGACTGGTACAATGGGGACAATCCTAACTGATTCCTAGATCCCAACTTAAAGAAAAGCAATTCACATCCTGTAACATGCAGAGCAATGCCCTTGAAAATCATTACAGCCTCCCAGATAAGTACTACACTTTCACCCCTGCTCTGGAGTCTCGATTGATGCCAGGTAGGTACATTTCCAAGAGGGGAATATCCTCTCTGGGATTGAACCAAGTTTCAGGAATACTTGCAAGCATTTCATTATCCTAACCAGGTAATATCATCAGGGTAATGAAATGTTTGCAAGAAAACAAACAAGCTCAGAGAGCACCAAGGAACTGTCATTTCAACCCTGAGCTACAAATATTCTCCTTCATTGGTTATCATGGTTAATTAGAAGTGTAATTGAAAGGATTCTCCTGTTTCTGTAGCTTGCCTGGCAGGAAATTCCTTCCCTTCCTATCCTCGTGAAAGCATAAAGCTTCAACGTGATATCAGGCAGCAGGATTTCCTGCTGGCTCTGAAATGGGAGGGGAGCCCAGCGAAGCAGCTGTGTGGGTGACATCGAAGGCTAGCCACACACATTATGCATGAATTATATTTTCCTCATTATGCAGGACTAATTTTTCTCACCAGAACCCTGCACAAACCTTCTCCAAGCCACAATTAAAGTTTCAATAGCCTAACCCACTCACCAGTCTGGGGCCTTTGTTACAGCATTACATGCTTTTCTCCCCAGACATTTAGAGAATTGAGAGTAAGGAATGTGGTTTGATGCCTGCTTTGCCAAACTGAACTTAGAATCAAGTCCCATAAGTGCTCTACCTTTGTAATTTCCTTTACTACCTTCATACAAGTCATATGGAAGGTTAGTTTCTGTGAACCTTTGTCCCTGATTGATAAAAGGAGTGAATTAGACTTGTTCCCTTGGTGAATTGATCTGAGAAACAAGCCTTGGCTGTTACTTTGACTTACAATCAAGCTGCTCATAAAGGATGCAGCCAATGTGAGCTAGTGATCGAGGTGTTGGCTCAGCAGTGACACACTCAGCTTTTGGCCTCTCTTCAGGCAGGGAAGCTGCCTTGGTTACTTTGGGCAACTCATTCTCTCTCAGTCCAACCTACCTGATAGGGTTGTCACTGAAGGAAAAATGGAAAAGAAGGAGCACTATGTGTCCTGCTCTGAGCTCCTGAAGGAAAAACAGGACCTAAGAGATGTGACTTTTTTCTGGAGGAGGACTGCAAGCATCTCAGAAAGTGGCTGCTGAAAAAGGCAGCACTTTGTGTGCTGCTGTGTTTGACTTCCTGTGGGAGTTCTGTAGAAGATTTCTCTCCCATGACATGATGTAGTACAGCTATGCTTTCCTTTCATTTTCCGTTGTGCTTGATATCTTTGTGAGAACTTTTCAGAAACCTTCAGGCAGCTGGAGCAAAACTTTCAAAATGAAGTTTAAAGATATTGTTGAGAAGTTTTTCCGGAACAGAATAGCACTAAATTTCATTGCCACAATTATCTTGGCAGTGATTGAAGAAATTACAGAACGTGAATATACCTGCGCCCCACCGCCATGGAATCTAATTTATTTTATAATATTGTTAGTGTTACCATTTCTCATTTTCTTCATCCTGAATTTTATTATTCAGATGTATATGTTAAATTCGTTTGATGTTAAAAAAGGCGAAGGGTGCTGCAGTTTATGGTGCTGCAGGTTATGGCAGAGTTCCTTCCCCCCCTTCATGTGGCTTGTGATTGTTTTTTTGGATGGAAGGTATTTTCAGTGTGCAATGAGTACAGATCACAATGCACCAATAAAGCCAACTAATTTTGAAGCGTCGGCAATATCTAAGGTAAGCTGTTGTGTTGTTTTTTTTCTTCTATTTCATCTGACACTTGCCATAAAATCCTGATAAAATTGTCGTAAATTTGAAATTTGATTTGAAACTATAACATTTCTTTGTGTGTTCACTCAGGAGGAAAGAAAGGCTAAGCTGCATAACTTGGAGCTCATATTGAACTCCTAATAGATGCTTGATATTGTGAAAAGAAGCTGTTTTTCAGGATATTTTAGATTTGAGAGAAAGAAAGAGAAATTTAATCCTTTCTCTCCTAGATGCTTTCCCATTCTGTTGTAACTGGAAAGTGGGAAACATTAATTTATTAGATATTCAAATGGGTAAATATGGGGGTGCAGAGGAAAAGCACATAGATGAGTATCCATCTCAGGTCAAGAAAGAAATTGGAAACCTATTCAACTTTTTTGCTTTTAGCTTTTTCACACAACCAACAGATTGTCTTTAGCAACAAACTTCTTCAGATTATAGCTACCAGTATTCTAGTCCATGATGTATTTATCACAAAGTCGTTTGTATTCCATTGAATCTTATATCACAATTTAGCCCTTATGGAACTTCAATCATTCTGATACAAGCAGATCAATTTCTGCACACAACTGTTATGTAATAGCCTGGTTTTCATTAGATTCTTTATGGTGATTTGTTTTTCTTTTTGTCCTGATTTGAAAGTCTGGTATGAAAAGTTGCTTCCCAAATGTACACTAAAAACAGCCTGTTGAAATAAATACTAACTTGGTAAATTTATTGTTGCACATATTTTTAGGAAAACCTTAGCTTTCTTGATGACCTCAACCCATAAATTAAATTAAATTAAATTAAATTAGGAACTATGTGAATATTGGGCATTTGGGATATCAAAGACAGGGTTGCTTTTGCTTTCAAATTCTGGAATATATTACCAGAGTTATATTATTAATGTAGCCTTTCTTCTTACCTCTTTCAGACTGTTGGATTAATCCTGCTCTTAGTCATTACTTCAGCGATGCTCGTACACTATTGTTGGAAGAATAAGAACGAGCCCCAGCAGTCTAATACTGGGCAGCAGTCTAATACTGGGCAGCAGTCTAATACTGGGCAGCAGTCTAATACTGGGCAGAATTCATCCGAGAATACAGGTAATCCTCAACATATAACGATAACTGAGGCTAGAATTTCTAGGCGAAGCAGTATTTAGGTGAGTTTTGCCCGTTGTATGACATTTCTTGCCACAATTAAGTGAATCACTGCAGTTGTTTTTTTTAAACTATTTTTATTTTATGCAAAAATAGTTAAAACGCAAAACACTAAAATATTTTAGAAAAAAACAAAGGAAAAAAGTAACAAACATTGAAAAGAAAAAGGTGCATTAAAAAAATAGACCAACACATATACATATATTGTTGTCCCTAGTTGAATGCTGATTAATATATTACAACAATATTAGTTTCCCACCCCTTGTGAAACAGGCCCAAATAATTTTAAGTTACTAAACTACTAATTCTATTTTACAAATTGTTAACCTGTCATCTATATAGTGTATCAGTAACAAAATAGTTAACAGGAAGAACAGTAATAATTCAAAAAGACAAGATTAAAATTCCAAAACCCTCTGTTAACAAACTGTTATTGTAAACAACTCATAGCAAATTTATCACAGCTTCTTAACTATCCCAAATCATTCCCCAAATTAACCCTGATTAGTCCCCGACTAAATATCCACATTTGTTTCTTAATGCCATCTCTTATCAATTATTTGTTTGATTGAATTCAGTAAATCCAATCTCCAAAGCCAGACTATTTTCCCAAAAAAGTCCAGATGAAATTGTTCCCCAGTTAAAGGCGATAAAAACCGTTCCCCAATCCTCTTCAATCCACTTAACAAAGACCAATTTACCACTTACCATCTAGACAGTTTTCTGCTATTATACTGTATCGAAATACTGACTTGAACTTCAGGAAGGTGTATGAACTTAACTCAGTTATTTCTGAGTCCATATTTCTTCCTAACAAACATACTGCTTTGAGATCACATTCCTTTTGTGGATTTAATTGATTTACTGTCAGTTTCCTCTGAATATTTTCCAGCATCTTTATGAGTTCATCAAAAATTTTAAGAAAGCTTTCAGCTAAAGATTGCGTTGCCAAGCAGTAAGGCTCCACCCTCACGCTACCCTGAAGGCAGCCACCCTTAGTCCCCCAAACAGCAGCCCCTACAGTGCCAAGAAAGTCCACATAGTAGGAGCATGCTCACAGGGCAAGGTCCAGGGTTCCAAGTCCAATCCACCAAGCAGGGTCCGGGCACAAGACCAGGGCAGTCCTCAGGACAAGAAACAGGTCCCAAAAAAGAAGCATTTTCCAAAACTCCAATGAAGCAAAGGCCACAAGAGAACGACAAGGTCCAAAACAAAATGCAAAGAGCAATCTTCCAAGTGAGGCAAGGCAAACAGCAACAGCCCAACTGTTCCTTGCTGCCCACCCCATTGTAACCAACCAAATCCATGCAATATGTTTTCACAACAGTCAGCCCAAACACAGCTTTGTATATGGCTCCCTCCTTCTTCTAGCTGGATGATCTTGAGGCAGCGTCTCGAGGGGGTACAGTCTCTACGATCGATTCCCCAAGGATCCCCCTTCTCATCCCCCCTTCCCACAGCTCATGGCAGTCTGTCACTGCATAACAGCAAAGCACAGCAAGCATAAGGTGACAGCTGACAATGGGATTCTTCCTTAAGAAAGGAACAGTGATGAAGATATTTTAAAGGAAAGAAGGAAATTATAAGAAACTACTAGATTACCCCACTGTCCCTGACTATAAATAAGTAAATGTAGAGAATGACCTACTTCATAATTTCACCAAGCCATGGTTAATTCTAGATACGCGCTGTCTGTTGAAGGTGTGCTAATGCCAGCTTAACAGATGAGCAGAACAATCTTGGCTTGATTGGTTAATTTCTAGGAGTTCATTTTGCTCTTCTTGCATTAATCTTCTGTGGTTTGATTAGACATTTGTGTGAGGAGCAAAGCACAGGACCAGATCAAAATCAAAGAATACCTTTTGACTAAATAAGTTTACTAATAGCTTTTGACTAAAATAGTTTCTACAGGGTAAAAAAAAAAGAGTGTGTTCTGAGCCAGGAAGCAACTCAGAAAACATACTGGGATCCAGGTTATTCTTGATGGGGATTTGATGTAAGCTTGCTGCTAGTAGGAGTGTAAGACTACTTTTCTCTCAGCCATGCTATATTTGCATGTTTTTACTTTTGCTTAACCTTGTGGAAATGTCATATGGCAAGTGATTTATGTTCAAAGGAAAACTGAATGTAGATGGTCCTCCACCTCAAAAGTTGTTATCATTCAGGGAAGAGGAGTACAGCATAAAAATGATACATATTTGCTGCGAGATGGGAACAGCTTCTAAATGTCTCTCCTAACAGAAATTGATTAAGGTTTGGGTCAGGTCTGTATACTTTCCAATAGAAGAGGACAGCCAAAGCTTGCTTCACTCTTACAGCAGAAGCAGAGCTCACAGAATGGAGTACTCTAGGATTTTGGCCCCTTCCACACCACCACTGTTTTCATGTGGGAAGTCAGCCCCCCCAGAGAAGGAAATATTAAAAGGGCAGAAAAATATATTTCCTCAAAGGATCTTAAAGAGGCAAAAAAGCATGCCCAGTTTTTTCTTAATAGCCCCAAGTCTCCCTCCCCCAAGCAGAAACCAGCTCTGTAGAAATGCAGATGTAAATAATCCAGGAAGGTTGGAGGCCCCCAGCTAGAAGCTTAGGAAGACAAAGACACCTAAAATCTACATACCCCACCCAAACACTAAGACAGGACATAATAGGATTAACCCACAGATGCCAAAGGGCACACCCAGACTCAGGTCAGAATACATGACACAGGAAATACAAAGCCTCAAACAGGAACAGGAAACAACTCCAAACAAAAGCCTCAGAGGGTATAAAAATCCACTCCCTACATGTGCTCTCTCTTTTTCTTCAAGAGCCATCTTTCTGTCTGGCTCTTGTCTTCAATAAACTGCAACCTTCTTTCTAAAGCATTTGCCATGTTGTTTATTCCCGGCTTGGACTGAACCATGATGAAGACTTTTCCTTCAACATCATTCCCCCAAAACTCAAAAGTTTGGAGATGCTGTATAATCATTTTGACTTTTTCAAACCTAGAACTGCTGAGAAAAAGGAGCAAACATCACCCAGATTGTTGGGGGCAATATGCTGATTCTGTAAACCGCTTAGAGAGGGCTGTAAAGCACTGTGAAATGGTATATAAGTCTAAGTGCTATAGCTATTGCTATCACCACTACAGTCTTGAGCAACAAAAATTCCCCCTTTCACACACACACACACACACACACACACACACACACACACACACCTATCTGATCAGCAAAATTCAAAGTCAACATTTCATTTTTTCCCCACCACAAGCACAAAGTCCAAAAGCCGTTTCCAAATATAAACGGAATTAGTTGTGTTCTTTGCTTTAATCAAAGCAGTCAATTTGGCCATCTCTGCTGCATCAACTTTTGCACCCATTTGTCTGTTGTGGGAATCAAAGCATCCTTCCATTTTTGTGCATAAAGTATTCTTGCTGCTGACAGCATATCCATCAAAGTTCCATTTTCCCCCAAGTTCCTTATCTATTAAACCTAAGAGAAAAGTCTCTGATTTCATCTTTATATTCACTTTAAGAATATTCTGTATTAGGATATGAATTCTGCTTCAATATTTCTTTGATTTATCACACGTCCACCATAAATGAAAAAAGTTTCTTCTTTACGTATACTTTTCCAACATTTATTTGAAATACCTTTATACATTTTTTTGACAATTTGTGCAGTATTAGATACCAACAGTACATTATATCATAAAAATTGTGTTTTAAATTATAATTTAATGTGAACTTTAGACCTTTCATCTACACATTTTCCCATTGTTCAAGCATTATATTATATCCAAAGCTCTTCCCATTGATTCACACATTGCTTTACATATTCATTCTTCAAGTTCAATTTCAATAACAATTTATAAACCTTAGCAATAATATGTTCATCGCTACCAACCAATAGGACTTCTAATTAATTTTCCACAAAGTCAAATCCATAGCTTTTTAAAAATAAAATTTAAATCTTTCTTTCAATTGTAAATATGTAAACCATGACAAACACATCCATCTGATTTCAATTCCTCTTTAGATTTGAGGATAGGGTCACCATAATTGAAAGATATTATTTGCCCATAAGTCCACCACTCTGGCCTCACCACCATCTCTTTTCTAAAAACAAAGCCTCTTGGGGTGATACCTAAAGGGGCATCTTCACAGAGAATCTTACTTTATATTTATTCCAAACTCTTAGGATAGTGTGTCTATCAAAATGGTTGTTAAAATCAACCTTTACTTTAACCCAGTGGTCCCCAACCTTTGCGGCTTGGTAGCCTGGCTGGAAACTGGATTGCATGAGTGGTGGGCCAGTGCATATGTGCACGTGCAGTCCAACTTGTGTAAGTTGAGATGTGTGCATGCGCACGGGCCCACTGCTTGTGCAACCCAGTTCCAAATAGGCCTGGTAATGGGCCTCGGCCTAGGGGTTGGGGACCTCTGCTTTAACCTTATCATATGACAAATAGCCATGCCATCCAAATCTTAATTCATGGCCTTCCAGCTCAAGTAACCTATTATTTTGGGGAGTCACCCACTCTTTCAGCCAGAGCAAACAGCAAGCATCAAAGTACAATTTCAAATCTGGTAAACCCAAACCTCCTCTCTCTTTATCATCTTGCAATCATTTATATCTAATTCTTGTTTTTTCCCCCTTGCCATATAAATGTAGAAATATCCATCTCCATCTTGTTTAAATGGAGTATCGGTTATAAGTATTGGTATAGTTCACGGGTCGGCAACCCGCGGCTCCGGAGCCGCATGCGGCTCTTTCAGCCTCTTCTGCGGCTCCCAGCCATGTGCAGTGCCAAAAAAAAAAATAGGACTCAAAAAGTTGAACCAATCAATTCAAACTTCTCACGAAAGAAGTTTGAATTGATTGGTTCAACTTCTTTGGTTTGTAGGACGCTGTTTGCCATGGGCTCAACATAGACGGGAGGGGGGGGAAGATAGCTCTGGAGGGAGACAGCCCTGTAGCAAGAAGCCGGCGGTCCGAGCGGAGCGGCATGGAAGACCTACCGGTCAGCGTGGGAAGCTCCAGTGTTGCCGGTGAGTAAGGCTTGGCCCCCGCAGCCCAGTTCCGCACCCCGATGACCAGCTGGATTGGCTTTCACGGCTCCAGCCCGGGGACGCCAGCAGCATAGAAAGCGGTTTGGCGGCGCTGCCGTGGGCGGGGTGTCCTTGCAGCGGACAACTTGGGCCTGGATATTTCCTGCGGCTTGCGACTCGGGACCGGAGACACCAGTGGCGCACGGCCCGGACTGTCTGCGTTGCCATGGGACCACCCCCCTGCGGTGCCAGCTAATGCGGCATGTTTCCAGCGGCGAAAAAGGGGCCTGAGCAGCGGCAGAACAAGACGCTGGGCAGCACGAACTGAGCACGGTCTTGATAAGCAACAAGCCAAGGCCCCGCATCCCTCCTGCCGCTGCTTAGTTTGTGCTGCCCAGCGTCTTGCAATCAGTTGGAGAAAACAGGTGGATAGGATTGCAGCCAACGATAGTAGGATGTTAGAGCCGCCAACTCTGGTCTCCACCCGGGCGGGCAGGTGAGCGAAACCCCGAAACCTTTTGCGTTTGTTTGCAAAGAAGCAATGAAAGCCAGTCCAGCTGGTCGTCGGGGTGTGGAACTGGGCTGTGGACGCCTGCCCGCCCGGCTGGAGAGCCTGCGCCTCCCCTTCTCCTGCACCCGGGGAAAGAGGGCCGGCCCCGAGCCTGTCCTGGAGAACTTTTTAGGCCCCGGATACCCCCACCCCCTCCCCCCTCAGCCCATAGCCAGGCACTGCAGCTCCGCAGCAGGAGGGAACCCTCCGGACCTTCGGTTTTCCCGGCTTGCCAACGAGGCTTGCAAACTCGGCTCCTGCCAGGGAAGCAGCACCTTTTGGGACAGGCTCTGAGCAATTGCATGCTTCGGGGAAGGAGCATGGAGGCCTGCAAGCAGGCAGGCAGGCAGGCAGGCAGACGCTGGGCAGCACGAACTAAGTGGCGAGCAAAACCCCGAAACCTTTTGCGTTCGTTTGCAAAGAAGCAGTGAAAGCCGGTCCAGCTGGTCGTCGGGATGCGGAACTGGGCTGCGGACACCAGGCCTTGCTCACCGGCAACGCTGGAGCCTCCCACACCAACCAGTAGGTCTTCTGTGCCACTCCGCTGGGACCGCCGGCTTCTGACTGCGTGGCTGCCTCCCTCTGGAGCTGTCTTTCCCTCCCCCGGGCCATGCGCCACCAGCATCTTCTCTTTGCAACGAAACACAAAAGATTTCGGGGTTTCACTCACCTGCCCACCCGGGTGGAGACGAGTTAGTGGCTCTAACGTCCTACTATCGTTGGCTGCAATCCTATCCACCTGTTTTGTGCAACTGATTGCAAGCCAAGCGCTGCCTGGTTCTGAATTAATAGCTTGGGGGGGAGCGCGAAGCCCACTGATCTGCGTGATCCCAATGACCGAGCTGACTTTTCAGGAGCCTCCATCGGATTGGAACTTTCCTGTCCGATTGAACTTAGTTAAGGCAGGACGGTTCTTAGCGTGGTGTTCACATGTTAGTTAGTGGGGCTGACTAGTTCTCTGGCAAGGGTGCCGCGCTCCGGCCTTCCTCCTAAGTGCCGTCCTCGGAGGGGTAGTTCAAGGCACCACTTTCAGCCGGCTCCTTTGGCGCGGCCCCAATTCTGCTCCGGGGAAACGAGGGCTGGGCGGAGTGGGGCAGCGCTGCCTATCTCAGTCACGTGGAGGGCCGTGTAAACACCACCAGATGGCTCCGCAGTTGCCACCACCGCCGGGGGAGATGAGCAGGCTGTTGCTCCCGCGGTTGCCTTCCCGCTGCTATGGAAGATAGCCTGGTCCGCACCTTTGGGGGCCTCAGCCTCCAGCAGTCCTGCCGTGCCCAAGGCAAGCCCCCTCCCGCTCGCCGCTTCACCAAAGGGGGGAGAGCAGTCTTTTCCGAGGGGAGGTGAAGCCAGGACGGCAGAGCCGTCCATACCAGAGCTGGATGCGGGTAGGGCCGGTGCATGTGTCGCCTTAGGCTCCACTCTTCAATCAAGCCCCATTACGTGTGTGCGCATGCGCACATTTTGCGGCTCCCAGTTTTTTTTTTGTGAGGGAAACGGGTCCAAGTGGCTCTTTCACCATTTTAGGTTGCCGACCCCTGGTATAGTTTGAAACAGAAAAAGCATCTTTGGTAAAACATTCATCTTGATCACTGAAAATTCTCCCCACTAATGTTAATTGCAATCTATCCCATCTTAATAAATCTTTTTAAATATAATTTCAAACAGGCACAAAGTTATTTTGAAACAGTTTAGCATTTGTGTTTGACAATATAACCTTTAGGCGTTTCACCTTTTTTTCCACTTTTAAACCCAACTTTTTAGTCAATAATCCTGAGACAAGCATTGTTGTTGTTTTTTGTTTATTTTGAAATCCACCAAAGCTCCAAACTCATATAGGTTGTCCATCAGATATTTTATACTGGTTTTGGGGTTTTGTAAGAATATAATTAAATCATCAGCAAATGCTCTTGATTTATAAACATCATTTTTGATATTTATACCTGTTATTTTCTTATCTTGCTTAATATCTCTGTTTCAAAACTTCCAACACCAATATAAAAAGTAAGGGAGATAAGGGGCATCCTAGTCTGGAACTTTTCTGAATTTCACATGGTTTAGTTAAATCTCCATTAATAATAATATTTGCTTGTTGTGACATATAAATTGCTTTAAACCCCTGAATAAATTTCTCCCCAAAATCCATATCTTCCAGAACTTTAAAAAAAACCCAATTTAAAGGCCTTCTTTGCATCCAAAAGCATTAAAGCTGCCTGTTTCTCATTATGATATTGTAAAATATTCAATAATATTCAAAACAGTCCTCACATTATCTCTTAACTGCCTTTTTAGCAAAAAGCCCGATTATCCCAAAGATGCTTTTTCCTGAAGCAACTGGACTTTCTTGTTTTTCTTTGAAGACATTTCACTTCTCATCCAAGAAGCTTCTTCAGCACTTCTTCGATGAGAAGCAAAACATCTTCAAAGAAAAATAAAAAAAGTCCAGTTGCCTTGGGAAAAAGCATCTTTGGGGTAACTATGACCTGGATGATTGAGAATCTCAACAGACAAAAAGCCTGAATGATCTTCATGAATGTATGTCCGTAAAATCTTCTTCAATCTTGCTGCCAAAATTGCAACAAAAATTTTATAGTCATTATTTAATAATGAAATTGGTCCATATATTTTTATCCTTAAGGCATCTTGATCCTCTTTTGGTAGTAACACAATGTTGGCTTCTTTCTAAGTTTGAGGCATCATTGCAATACCTTCAGCCACTAAAGGATATAATCCTTTATATCTTTTAATGGTTGAAGGAGTTGGTCCTCAAAACATTTGTAATAAAGGCCATTCTGGACCTAGAGCTTTACCTGGTTTCATTTTTAATAGCTTCTGAGATTTCAAAAGTAGTTACTGGATCATTCACAAGTTGTCTCTGAGCTTTGAGAGTTTAAGTAAATGTTGTCTTTGCATCTATTTTATGCATATCAAATTCCTGCTTCTTATAAAGGTTGGAGTAAAAATTGTGAAAGGACTTTTTAAATAAGATCATTATCTATTATTTCATGGTCACCTTCATGAATTTTCTCAGTCATTATTTTTTCTCTTTGTTTTCTTAATTGGACAAGAAGCAAGCGATGGAAACTCATCAAGGAGTGAAGCAACCTAAATGGACTAAAACATCTCTGGGTAATTTTCTAGTGATGGCAAATCTGGAGTTTACTCTATATGTTTTGTTGATTTCAATGTCCATTTTCTTTTCTTCCTAATTAGTTAACTATCATTCTTGCTTTCTTGCTCTAGTATTCCTTGCAGGCTATCCAACTTGTAGCTGGAAGTGCTGTTATGCTACCAAATAGGAATAACTTAGGACCCTTGGACCACTGGACTTACCTGAGAACACAAATCTAGATGGTTGCGATTTTTGATAGGAGAGGCCAGTAGGCTGGGTCCCCTTTCAGCTGTTTTTTTTTTTTTTGGTTTAATCATGTTTTGGTTTTAACAGCACATTTTGATATTTGCTTTTTTTCTTTTTTCTTTTTCTTTTTACATGTTAATAGACTAGTTTAATGCTGATTTATTCTAACTGCTTGCAAGATTTTAAAGTGGATTCTTTGTGTTTTCTTTTACTGCTTTATTAGTCATGGCAAATCACTTTTCTTTACTTTGTATGAAAGTAGAGGGCAACTTCTTGAGCAGCAAACATTTGTATCGGATCTTCACTACAGGGCTTTTACATTTTATTAATTTTTAAAAGCTCTGGTCTTTTTTTTTTAATTTTTGATGAAATTTGTCTTTCCCACTTATTTTGTGGGAAAGTTTATTTCAACCTTTTTTAAGGTTATTGGTGTATTTGGTGTTTCCCTTGTCCTAGAGAGGAATTTATGACTGGCTGTAAAAGCTCAGCTACAGAAGAGTCTTGGATTACATTAAAGTCCAGTGTTTCTCAACCTTGACAATTTTAAGGCATGTGGACTTCAACTCCCAGAATTCCACAGCCAGCATTGCTGGCTGTGGAATTCTGGGAGTTGAAGTCCACATGCCTTAAAATTGTCAAGGTTGAGAAACACTGCATTAAACATTCAAACAATGCATCAACTTAAGGATGAAGCTCTTTGGGGAAGCCTTCGGGAAAAAAATGCTTTTCAATTTACATGTTCAAATTGAAAATTTAGATAAAACGTTTGATAAAATAACAACAGTTTTAAATCAACCCAAAGGTGATATTCATATGCACAATAAGTAATAGCAGTTAAACCAAATAAATTATTGGATGGATTGGGATTTAATTTGCTGCTGGCAGACTTGAAGGAGAAGGAGTCTGGTTTGAAAACTGCAGGCTGGTTGGAGAAGGCTGAAAGAGGCATGGATTTTAAAGTCACAAAGTTTGCAGAACGGATTTTTTTTTTTTTAAAGAAAATGAATGGAGATTGGGGAATGGACATTATATTTAACTGGAAAATGAACTGTGGGAAGTCAGCTCCCCAGAGAAGGAAATATTAAAAAGGGCAGAAAAATATATTTCCTCCCAGGATTCTAAAGAGACAGAAAAACATGCCAGTTTTTTCTTAATAGCCCCAAGTCTCCCTCCCCCAAGCAGAAACCAGCTCTGTAGAAATGCAGATGTAAACCATCAGGAAAGTTGGAGCCAGACGCTCAAGAAAACAAAGACCTAAAATCTGCATACCCCACCTGTGACAGGACATGGTAGGATTAACTCACAAAGGCCAGAGAGGCACACCTAAACTCAGGTCAGAATACGTGACACAGGAAATAGCCTCAAACTATTCCAAACAAAAGGCTTTCAGAGGGTATAAAAACCTACTACCCGTGTGCTCAGCCTTTCTTTTCTCTGGTCTTTCCTACAGGAACCATCTTTCTGGCTCTTCAATAAACTGCAGCCTTCTTCCCAAAGCAGTCACCATGTTGTTTATTTATCCCCGGTTTGGATAAACCAGGATGAAAACTTTTCCTTCAACAGAATGTTAAGAGCCATTGTATTTCAACTTGGGGGGGGGGGGGTTGAACAACAAATGCTGTGGAGATATCCACCACAGAGTCTTATGATTTTGAGGAATGGGATCCAATTGTTGGGAAAGATCCCGGTTAAAAGTTTAAGGAAAAGCCTTATCATTAAGAATCAATTAAGGATATTTGACTTTGGAGGGACCAGAGATAACGATTGTGATGCTGTTAATTTTACCTATTAATTGTTTTTTTTATATAGTAGATAGAGTCACATCAAATGGGTTGGTTAAACATAGTTGTAGAAGTTCATAAACTGTATCTGCTTCACAAGGGGGGGAATTATTATTTTTGAAATATATCAATATTCAACTAGGGGAGACAATTTATGTATGTGTTTTTTTTAATGCACACTTTCATTTTTTTGGTCTTGTCTAGTTTTGCTTTGTTTTTGTATTTTCTTTGTTTTCCTTTTTTGGAGTTTGTATTTTGATGTTTTGAATAAAAAAATAAAATTAAAAGAAAAGAATCTGCAACCTTTTCATTGAGCCTAGGAAACAATGGATTGTAACCAAAGAATTACCACACCTTACAAACATATTTGGGGATTACAAGGTTGTGAAATTGATTCAGAGTGGTGGACATATGTGGAAACACCTTTTATTGAAAGTTCAAGCAGGAGGCACACATTTTGGAACCACAAGAGAAGTTAGAGATCAGGGGTGTTGGGGAAGAAGTGGGAAAAAATAAAAAGTCAAGATGGCAGATCCACCATACAGTTTAATTTCTACCTCCTTCATGTATGTGCTGGGGCACATAAAAAGCATAGGATTTCGATTGCATGGTCATGGCCATCATTTGGACTTTTTTTTTACATACACACACATACACAAACACATGCACACACATACAAACACCTATGAATACCCCTGAAAGAGGTGTTAAGGAGATTCTCTATTTCTGGTAAACAACAGATTGATGCTGCAACTTCTGGCTGGTATTATACTTTTTGTAACCAAAATTATATCTGCAAAATAATTGCAATTACAACTGTAAATATGGATCCAGTTTTAAAGAACCTGCACATTTCAGTTTGTTTCTGTCAGTCTGAGGATGATGGCTTGAAGCCTATGGTCATTTAATTTGTAAAAAGTGACAGCCCACTGCAGGATACAATACAATATCAGTATTTGCCTTTGCTGCCAAGCATAAATGACAGAAAATCTTTGAGATACTTCTTGAACATTTGTGTACAAATAGCATTCTTCTCCTAATGCCTCCAAGGACAAAGAGAGGATTTGAGATCACCCACAAGTGCTCCGAACAGTTGCTCCTCATGTGGAGACTGCAAGACAAGTTTAGAGCTCTGGGAGATAAGGAAACAGCCATGTCAAAATAGCAGTTTTGAAAGGACACTGGATTCATGTACTTCATTTTCTAAACATTTTTGAAAATTGCTTGTTCACTTTTCTGCTATTAATAGTGTTTGGATGGGCAGGTTTTACATGCTTGATTGTTTCCTTCAATCCTTAATAAAAGAAGTTTTAAATACAAACTTTTCTTTGGAATAAACAATAAAAAAATGATTAAAATGTTGATTCCAGAAAGTCTTACACACGTGCTCCCAGGTTTCGTATATAATCATTCACTTACAGACTCACATCCCTGAAAAATAGCCATGCTCAAATCACTTTCAATTGAACACTGAGCCACAACCAGTTCTTTAGAAAAATGGACACCAAGTGAATTTAAAATAACAATAAACTTTACTCATTACAACATGTAGAAAGAATCATGACCCCAGGAAAAGAAAAAGGAAAAAAACCATTAGCAAAAGCTAGGAGAAAAAAAAACAAAAACAAAACTCTGCCTCCCAGCCAAGCAGAATTGCCTCAGGCAACCCAATAAGAGCATTCTGCAAATGGATACATGGCATCAATTGATGGAAAACAAAAACTGCAAGAATGTAACAAGTCATGCTTAGACTGAGGCAAACTGAATTGACAGGATTAAACCAGATAAACACAAAAACCCACCAGATTTACATTCTCCTCCCTTCCCCCAAGCTAGACTTGACCTTATCCACCACCCAGAAAACAGAATAAGGGCAATCAAGATACCAAAAAACATTAAGCTAATCAAGTATTCTACCAGGTATCTCAAACACAAAGGTCCAGGAGGGTATAAAAACCATTCTCTCATCCTGCCAAGTTGCCAGCTGACCCAGAACCCAACACGTCACTGCAGTTTTCTGGCTTCTGAAATAAAACCTTCTTTCTGGCAGCTTGCTTCCTGGCTTCTCATTTCATTCATCAGCACCAATTCCATCATCCTGGCTGGAGTTTTTTTTCTTCCGATTAACATATATATTTGCTCTTTCTCTCTCTCCCTCTCCCTCTCCCTTTCCCTCTCCCTCTCCCTCTCCCCCCCCTCTCTCTCTCTCTCACACACACTTACCCACATCCTTCTCAATAAAGCTGGCAGGCACTAGCCAGAGGGACAGAAGCTGCCAAGTCTGGATCCAAAGAGTGGGTGGGCTTCAGGAGTCCTTACATCCCCCAAAGTCTTTGCTTTGTTGATTCTCAAGTCTGGTAACTATGGATGGGGAGTTGGGAAGTTCCTCAGTATGTTAGTAAAAGCTAATTTAGATTAGCAAAACAAACTTGGGGGAAAAAAGCAAGAACCAGGATATTGGAAGAATATGATCTACGAAAGAGTAAAATAGATTGCTTCAGTCAACTCCTTGTTTTTCTATGTCTAACAGTGCCACCTGGTGTCTTACTGCGGTAGCTCAAGAGGCATTTCACCATAATGTATTGCATAACCCAACCCAGATTTGGTGACATCAGTGAGACATAATGAGCTGAAATTCATCAGATTTTTCCTTTGACACAGGATTATCCTGTCCTTTACAATTTGGATTTAGTATAATATTGGTGTTGAAGGAAAAGTCTTCATCATGGTTCAGTCCAAGTCGGGAATAAACAACATGGCAACTGTTTTAGAAAGAAGATTGCAATTTGTTGAAGAGGAGAGCCAGACAGGAAGATGGCTCTGGAAGAAATGAGTGAGCACATGTAGGGAGTGGGTTTTTATACCCTCTGAGGCTTTTGTTTGGAGTTGTTTCCTGTTCCTGTTTGAGGCTTTGTATTTCCTGTGTCATGTATTCTGGCCTGAGTCTGGGTGTGCCCTTTGGCATCTGTGAGTTAATCCTATTATGTCCTGTTTTAGTGTTTGGGTGCGGTATGTAGATTTTAGGTGTCTTTGTCTTCTTAACCTTCTAGCCTTCTTGGATTATTTATATCTGCATTTCTACAGAGCTGGTTTCTGCTTGGAGGAGGGAGACTTGGGGCTATTAAGAAAAAACTGGGCATGCTTTTCTGCCTCTTTAAGATCCTTTGAGGAAATATATTTTTCTGCCTTTTTAATATTTCCTTCTCTGGGGGGCTGACTTTCCACATTGGGATAAGAGAAATATCAAAAGTGCACCAATATATTAGCAGCACCCTTTCAGGAACAAGTCCAATGTAAGGCCCCATAGTTTGAAGGGTCCTTATGTTCAGTGCTGCAGTTGTCTTAGCTTGTCTCTTCCTCAGTCTGCTCCTCATCTCCCTAGAAGCCTTCTGCACAAACTGGAGGTGTTCCGGAACCTGAACTAAGATGCTTTGTAATTCAAGTCCAGGAAAAGTCAACTCAATGATTAATTGGTTTTAAACAAATATTTATTCCAGGAATCCTTAGCAGAACTTACTATTCTGAAGATGCTTCCGGATGTGTACATTTGTCCATTTTATGTAGGTAAAAACAGTAATTTCTTCATACTAGCTCTAGCATGGTTGTAGACGATGTCCCTGCATGCATCCCCATGCTGATTTCACACAAAGACATTCTTTCACAAGCTGGCATGTAGCCAGGATATCCTGTGGCCCCTCCCACTGACTTGATGAATATAAGATTCACTAAAACAGCTAAACTACATTACCTATAAGCCATCTCTTAAGGAGACAGCGCTTAACCCTTTAAATGCCAAACATTCTAACATACAGTTCTCATCTAACTGGTTGGTCCAGCACAGGAGGCCTGGAATGCACTTCTGCAGCCCATCCAACCTCTTGTGAAAGTAGGAAGGAAGAAAGAAAAATGTTCCTATGCTGTTGCTTGGTGAAGAAAAGCTGAAAGAAAAAAGCAAGAAATAGTATGGGAAGAAAATATATTGGTAATAGGAAATAGGTTAAATGGGTTGGTTGCAAAAGAAGCAACTCAGCAACAAGGGAAATGTCAAGTTCTGAACCTTACCCTTTTACCGAAAAGCCTAACAGAGGACTCAAAGTTTTCAGAAACTAAAATAGCCAAAATAAAAGAAATGGGGGGGGGCATAGGCTATAGTGGATTTATTTCTAGGAAAGTATTTGTATTTTGGCTTATACACAATTGTAAAACAAGTAACCAAAAAATGTTTGGTTTGCATGGAAAAATTAATAACAAAGGAGGGAGAAAACAGCTGGAAGGAGGTAAATCATTAGCAATAGCCCCTTCTGGTTTATACAAATAGATTTTACAGTCTTAAAATCAATGGTTAAGTTAAAATAGTGTTGAAGACTAAGGACTGTCCTATGGAAAGACCTGGGAATATCATCTTGTAAATTGATGTTTGGACTTCCTTATGTGGGAATGGGAGTCCTTTGCCTGAATTAAATACTAATGTCTTGAGAAGATATCTTGCTGGTGTGCTGGCCATTCTTTCTGCTTCTCAACAGGAGACTCTGCTGGTACAAACGTTGCCCTGGAAGCTCCGAGTCTACCAATTCTAACCCAGGAGATTGGGTCCTGATCAAGACTTGGAAGGACCAACCGTTGTCTCCTAAGTGGGAGGAACCATTCTAAATAATCCTCACCACTGAAGTGACTGTGTGGACCAGGGAAAGGCTGACTGAAGTAAAATCTGTACCTTTTCAGGAGCTCATAAAAACGGCACAGAAACAGTAAATCAGCAGACCATATGCAGATGATTTCTTAAAGTTAACACTTTCTAGGCAAAAATAAAATAAGTAATTGTGTCACTGAATAGAGAGAGGCTTTTGGGAAGGAAAATAATCCAAACTGGATAAATAAGGGCTATTAAAATTACATTTGCCTTTTGTGGTTAAATACTTGGACTGCAGGTCCTGGGTTAGATTTAGTTTGAAAAAGGGACCTGTAATATTCAATTGCTTAAAACAAAAATCCCAGGTACCACAAACATAAAATAAGTAGCTTAGACTTTAAGGTTAAAACTAGCTAATAAGTAGGGGAAAGGTTGAAATGTTTAGTAGCTTGTGCAGAATCAATAGACACACGAGTTGGCTTAGAATTCAGGAATAGTTCTCTTACAGGATGGCTAGAATCATGGCTTGAAAAATGGAAAGGTATGGTAGTATCAATTTTTAGCTCTTTAATAGCAGTAGCAGGAGTTCTAATAGCCAAAGGATGCTGCATTATCCCGTGAGGGGGCTTGCACAAAGATTAATAGAAACAGCAGTGTCAAAACAAATGCCTCTCAAGCCCCCACCAGACAGTGAGAATATGCTCCTTCTTGAGGAAACAGAGACAGTTGAAGAAACTGAAGTAGAAAACAGACAGATTTAGGACAGAGAGTGTGACATAATGATATCCAGGCTAGAAGGTTCATATGAGACAACACTCAAAAAGCAACAAGGGTACATAAAAGAAAAGGGGAAAAATTGTGGAAAATAGCAAGGTGTTGTTTTTGCATCAAACCATGTTTAGCACACTTTAGGGACATGTACTTAGAAAATTGACACGGCCCAGAATAATAAGAATAAAGGTTAGTAAAACAAGAAATGTCTGCGGTCTTAAAATAAGCCCTTCAACAGCTTAACCACAAGAGCTTAAGGAAATGCACAGATACTAAACTAACCGCTTATTTTATTTCCTTATGCCTATGCTACGTTCCAAGAAACAGGTCCTGTGGGTTAGGCCAGAGGCCCCCAAACTTTTAGGCACCAGGGACCGGTTCTATGGGGAGAGGTTTTTCTGCAGACTGGAGGGGGCATGGTTTTGTGTGCTGCCGGCATCCCATGGCTTCGCTTGTCTGCATGGCCCGGTTTCTGGCATGCCACGGCCCGGTGCTGGTTCATGGACCAGGGTTTGGGGACCTCTGGGGTAGGCAATGCCTCATGCACTCACCGTTAAGGGAAAACTAACCTAAAAAGGACAAAAACAAATAAGGGGAAAGGGTGCTGAATCAAGGGTGATGAGAGATGTAAGCAAGGGCAGAGATTCACATGGGATGCTTTGGCGCTTTGAACAGGCTGTACACCTTGTAGTACTCAGCCAATGGGGAGGCAGGGAAGGGACTTTCACTTCGGGAAAGGAAATAAATAGGTAACCATTTAATGCCTGGGTGTGCCTACTTGCTAGCCACCTGCTCCTGCAAGGACATATTTTTTCAATAAATTACTTGCTGCTTCACTTAATGATTCTGTCAAATCCTTGGAAGCTGAGTGTGTTTCTCACAGAGTGGAGTGGAGAGTGGGGTGGGATGGGGTGGAGAGTGGAATGGAGAGAGTAGAGAGTGGAATGTGGAGTGGAGTAGAGTGGGGTGGGTTGGGATGGAGTTAGGTCAAGGGTAGGCAATCTTGGCTCTTTTATGACTCGTGGATTTCAACTCCCAGAATTCCTGAGCCAGCACGAGTCATAAAAGAGCCAAGGTTGCCTACCGTGAGTTAGGTAGTGCCGACATTCCTTAACCTCTTCCAGACTGTTGCCACACTCAGTTGTTGCTGATGTTTTGCACATTTGCTTGCCCGCTGCCCAGTTGCCTGGATCTGCTGTTGCCTGGTCTCCTGGGTCTGCTACGTTGTGCTCAGCCTGGATCGGCCACTGCCTGCTTCTGCCCTTGCTCTGCCTCTCCTGCGTTTTTGCTTGTCAGTTTGTTTGGCTGACTGTACCCCGTCCTGGGTGCTGGGTGCTCAAAGTCTCCTCTCTGAAAGTCCATGATGCTCTGGTTGCTCTGTGCTCCACATACGTGTTTTTGTCCAATTTTTTAATTCACATTTTTAAAAATGTTTTTCTTTTCTTTTGTATCAGTTTAATTGTTTTCTTTAGGATTTTGTATTTTAACGTATTGTATTTTATATCTTTTGAATAAAATAAAATTGTAAAAAATAAAAGAAGTTTTAAATACAAGTTTAAGGACTTATTTTTTTAAAAATAAACAATAAAAGGGTGATTAAAATTTTGATTCTAGAAACTGTTGCAAACATGCTCCCAGGTTTGGCCAATAGCCATTCACTTACACACAGCCCTGAAAAATAGCCACATTCAAATCACTTTTGACCGAACACTGAAGCATAACTGATTACATGAAGACCCAATGAATTTAAAATAACATCAAAACTTTATTGGTTAAAACATAAATATTTGCTCTTTCTCAAGTGTGTGTGTGCGTGTGTGTGTGCGCGCGCGCACACACACACCTACAGACTCATCCATCCTTATCCATGGCCTTCTCAAC